AGGAGGCAGAGGATCTCTGTGAGTTAGAGGCCAGCCTAGTCTATGAGTGAGTTCCAGGACAGACAGAACTACAGAGAGAAACCTTGTCCCAAAACACAAACCAAAACAACAAATTCTCAGGCTGCTGACTTGTTCTCCTAGACTAGAACTGGGTGAAAACAGCAGCAGGTCCCCCATCTCTCTAGCCTGGGGGTACACAACCTCACATAACCCAGAAGACATGGCTTTGAGTGATGAGAAGGTAAGGATCAGGGAGCTGGTCAGTGGTGGGTGGGGGTGAAAGGGGAGGAAGGTGGAGGTTGCTTTTGGATAGTTTGGATTGCCTTTTAAAAGGAGAGGGCCCATGTTTTTGGAAGGTTTGGAAAACAGGAGTTACAAGAGGTCATTTATTCCCCCATAGCCTCTGTGACTTCACCCAGATAGCTCAACTCGTCCCCACCTGCCTGCTTCCTCCCTTGTTCCCTTTCACAGCCTCCCTTGCACTTCCCTGTCTCACACTCTGTTGCCCACCTCTGCTTGCTTTCACCCCTTCTTCCTTTTTAGGGTCTTCTCTCTAGCTTCATAAGCAAACACAGTGGGTGTTTTCTATCTGGGCTGCGACTTGTTTTTGTTTTGTCTGGGTTAGGAAATGTAGAAACAACATAGTTACAAAATTTTACATGGAGATACAGAATGAGAGTAAATAATTTAAATGTTTAAAACTAGCTTGAAAACACAGGGCTGGAGACATGGCTCAGCGGTTACAAGTGCTGTCTACTCTTCTGGAAAACAAGAGTTCAATGCCCAGTACCTCACAACCATCTGTAACTCCAGTCCTGGGGAGTTTGGCATCCTCTTCTGGCCTCTGTACCTTAGGAATTCTAATGATTTTTAATCATTTCACGTAAATTGTCTTCTGAAAATTTATTTAGTTTTTCCTCACATAGACAATCTTTAAGCTGCATCTGCCACTAATCCTGTGTGATTTACTTCTGTATTAAGCTTAAGTTTTCTGGCAGTGGTCCCCTCCCCTAACCCCTACTCCTTCTTTCCTTTTCTATTTTAGAAAAATAAGGCAAAATTTAATTTTACTATACAAAAAAAAAAAAAAAAAAAAAAAAAAAAAAAATTCTTTCCTTACTAAAAAGATGTCTCTTTTTAAGGTTATCAGAAATATATTCTCATCCTTATATCTTTCTTAATATTTCTCTGCCCTGGTTACTGATTTATTTCCTTTCTTACACATTTTTATGGACAGGGTCAGATTGAGAAAGGATGAAGTCTCATGTAGCTAGCCTTGAACTGTGATAGAGCCAAGGATGACTTTGAACCTCTGATCCCACCCGAATGCTGGGATTTGAGGCAAGTATTGCCAAACCCAGTTTATGCCGCGTTTTTACAGCCCGGGCAAGCATTATACCAATGGAGCCACATCACAGGCCTTCATTTCCTTTCACTGTCACTAGACAGAACAATACAACCAATTCACCGATTTATTAAGAGAATTGAGTATTACATGAATATCATAACAAATAAGATCCCCTTTCCACATAGTATAATACTATAGTTATTGTTTGCTGCGATTCTAAGGGGTTTTTACTGCCACTTGTTGGAAGGAAGGAAGGAAGAAAGGAAGGAAAAGAGAAAAGAAAAGAAAAGGAAAGAGGAGGCTCTTTTTGAAAGCTAGCAAGATGGCTCAGGGGATAAAGCCACTCAATGGGCAAACCTGAAGGTATGAGTTTGATCCCCAGAGCCCCCGAAAAGCCAGATGTAGCTGTATGTATCTGTAACCCCAGGCAACCACTGGGATGGGGGAATACCAGTGCCAGGCAAGACAGGAAGGCTCCCCTGAACTCTCAAGGCCAGCTAGCCTGAGCACTCAGAGCAGATGCAACCAGAGAGACCCTGCCACAATAAGGCGAGAACTGACTCCCATAGTTATCCTCTGACCTCCACAGTATACCCATACACACTAACAATAACAATGAGAAACAATTTAAAGCTTTTTAAAAACATTTCCCTTCCATATCTCACAAAGCTTTGAATAAAGGACTGACTGCTACCTTGCATTACGGAACTGGCAAAGCTAACAACTTCCCATGACCTTGGGCAGTGACCAAGCTTGCAAAACCAAGGTGGAAAAAAAATGCAGAGAGCCACAAAACCTTTATGAATTGACTGTGTATCTGTGGAGGCAATGCCAAAGGCATCTGTTTTCCTGAAGACGCAGGGTGACAGCAGGCAGCTACATTGTCCCAGAAGATAAGGCAAGCACTCCGGGGGCTGGAGAGATGGCTCAGCTGTCTAAGAGGCCTGGCTGCTCTTGCAGAGAGGATCAGGGTTCAGTACACAGCACCCACATAATGGCTCACACTAATGTTAACTCCAGCTCCAGGGGTTCTGACTCCCTTTTCTGGCTTCTGCAGGCACCAGGCATGCGTACACATAAACAAAAATAAAGAATTCCTTGAAAGAGAAGTCCTATAGCGTACAATTCGAAACAGAGGTTTGCGCTACTCAAATTTAGAAATTTCAAGGTCAAATTAATTTTTTTTTCTCATTTACACCCTAATATTTTACCTAGAATGTTTTCTTCCCCCCTTTTTTTCCTTTGAGACAGGGTTTCTTCATATAACCTTGGCTGTCCTGGACTATCTTTGTAGATCAGGCTGCTCTACTGGCCCCTGCTTCCCAAGTGCTGGGATTCAAGGTGTGTGCTACCACTCCTGGTTTGTATTCTTAAGCCAAAATTTAAAAACACAAAATTTAAAACACAAAAATTTAAAAAAAAAAAAAAGGTACATTTCTTAGAGAGAACTCTTTTTAAATTTTTGTTTTGAGACAAGGTCTGTTTGTTGTCCTGTCTGTGTTTGAAGACTCAAAGATACATCTTTGCCTTTGCCTCTGTCTCCTGAGCGCCCGGATTAAAGGTATTCCCCCTCACTCCTAGCCTCCCTAAGCTCTTTCAAACCACAGGAAAGCTGTAAACCCGGAACAAAACTCCAAAGTGCAATCATTTGGTCTGTAGTGTGACAGTGGTAGAGTTAGGAGACAGGAAAGATAAAGACCACTTGCAATCACTTGAAGGCACGTGCCTCTGCCTCCTGAGAGCTTAGATTAAAGGTGTGGACCCGATACACCTGGCTCTTTAAAACATTTTTAAAATTGTTATCATCATCATGACTTCTCTGGAGTTCCAGGCTGGCCTCAAACTCACCCCGTAGCAAACGATGACCTTAAATTTTTTTAACTTCCTCTCTCGAACTCCCAAAGGCTAAAATTACATGCCTGTACTACAGGTTAGGGTGTAATTTTAGCTCCGTTTTATGTGGAGCTGGGGATCAAACCCAGGGCTTGTGTATGCTAGGCAAGTACTGTACCAACCGAACCAAGCCGTGTCCCAGCAACGACCCTTAGGGACCTCAAACCCCTGGCAAGGAACAGGACACCTCACTAATTCAGCGACTTACCAGAGTGTTCCACCGGGTTATGTACCCAGACTGCGCTAGCCACTGGTGCCACCCTTCGATTAGCAAAGGCAGGAACTAGGCCTTCAGGTTCCGTTTTACGCTGAAAGGTAGCGATCTGTGAAGGCAGAAGGTTAAAGCCCCGCTAAGAGTCCACAAATCAGCTTTCCATTTTACGAATCCGGCCAACAGTGGGGTCGGAAAGGAAACGGGCAACACAGCGTTTCAGAGCTCAGTCTTTCTTTGATCAAGTGCCTTTCTCCTCCCCATCACTTGCACCTTTCTTTCTTTCTTTTTTTTTTCCAGGCTGGTCTCAAACTTATAACTTATGGAATCCATATGCTTCTGCCTCCTGAGTGCTGGGATTAAAGGGCGGACCACTACACCTGGCTCTTTAAAACATTTTTTTAAAATAATAATAATTATTATTATTATTTTGGTTTTTGGAGACAGAGTTTCTCTGTGTATCCCTGGCTGTCCTGGAACTCATTATGTAGAGTAGGCTGGCCTTGAACACATTAATCCACCTATCTCTGCCTCCCTTGTCCTGGGATTAAAGGTGTGCACCACCTACCACCTGGCTTTAAATTTATTGTTGTTGTTATTATTATTATTATATAAGGTCTTATTATTATTATTATTATTATTATTATTATTATTATTATTATTATTATTATATAAGGTCCCAGGCTGGCCTCAAACTCACCATGTAGCCAATGATGACCATGAATTTCTGATTCTCCAGCCTCTGCCTCCCAATTGCTAAAATTACAAGCATGTGCCACCATGCCCAGTTTTATGTAGTGCTGTGGATCAAACCTAGGGTTTGTGTATGCTAGGCAAGAACCATACCAACTAAGCCACCTCTCCTCATTATTATCCCTGGCACCTTTATCATTATTTTAGAGCATATTCCTTCTGTTATGCAAAAGTTGCTAGATGTAATGAAAGGGTTAGACTAACTTTGTAACCTATATGTCTTCTAAAGCCTATAGTTTTGAGTTTTAGGTTCAGGTTAAGCTAAAGC